GCAGAAGGAAAATAAAGACATTATTATCCTTCAGTTCTATAAGCTTGAGTTATCGCTCAAATAAGAAAATTTCCTTTAGGTTAAGCTCTGAATAAAATGGGTTCGTATGCATTACCTGTGTGAACACCAATGCGGATCATGACCCTATACGATGGCATGTGTGAAACGCGGAAGTCTCTCAAATCTTTCAGCAGACTAAGTGACATCAAACATATCTCTTTAATATGTTCTGAACCATTCCGACGAGGCAAACCAGAGACGCAAAGATATGCATCGCCAACTGTCTCAACCTAAAAAAATGTTGGGTATCAGAGTAAGAGCAGCAAGTCGCTCTCGTATAAGATGTGCAATACCTTGTAAACATCTCTCTCGTCGATTGTGCTATCAAAGATGGTGTAAATGTCGTTGAGAAAATTGACGACCTACAAAATTTGGTTCTCGGTGACGCAAATATAAACAGTTAACTTAGGTAAAAAGAACTTTTACGATGCCAAAAAGGTATTAAATTATTGGCAGATATTTGTATTTACTTAGTGAAAGCAAATATTTCTAAGATAAAACTCAGAAGCTATTAGGTTACATATGACCTACTTACATAAAACGTTAACATTCCTATAATTTGATGTTATAACACGTCATTCATAAATGATTATTGAAACTCTACTTGAGAATGTGGGAAGATACCTGCATAGGAGTGCATTTCGATGAGAATTCCGTGAAGGACACAATATCTGAGAAGAAAATGGAGACGCTATCAAATGATTCTGGAACAATCTGTTCCCCCAGTCTCAATTTCTCCACCACTTGTCTGAAAGCGATTATATAAAAAAGCAAACTTTCACTATTGTGATAAGATGTGATAAGATTATCAAACCAATCAATCTTCACAGTTATCCAAACATCACTATAGTTATGTTAGTCGCTCACTATAGGCGGCTAGAGAAGCTTGGTGCAAGAATTTTTCTAAGGCTACAAAGGATTATAAACCTACTGAGTAGCAGAATATTGGAAACTTGGAATTTGCTAAAACTTGTGCAATTTTTTGGTTTACACTCAACGGATTAGAGCCTTTCATTTATCATCAAAAGCTAACAAGAACTGGAATTATTTTGATATTGCATTCAAATATAATTGTTGGGTTGTTTACTTTCAACTAGGGTGCGCTGTTTTGGACATCTTCATTTATTACTTCACATCTTCGCATCAATCAAGATCTTCTTCAAACGATTCCATTAACAAGTATTAAGCACCACTACTTTCATTCAGCTCGAGAATGAGCTTCGTCAGCTGAAATGTTTGATGGAACAATAAATCCTCTATGCACCTGCATTATCAATACCACGAATGCGCATCTTTGCTGTACAATCCTTCGGCATCGCGGCTTTATCCACAAATAGTGGTTCGCTAAGCTAATGAAGGCTTGCACTTTTTACCAGAGAAAGAAGAAGTGCTCACTCTTTTGCTTCACCTATGTCTATGACATAAGTATCTGCAGTAGAGTCATCTTACTGTTTAAACAAGAAAATAACAGGTAAAAGTAATCTTTTTATGAGGAAGACAAAGGACACCTGAAAGTTTTCGTAATTCAAATGTTTAATATAAAGTCAATTCTCGATCTATTGTTAGTAGCAAACATAAATTATTTTCTGAAACTTGAATAGCCGTGCTTTCGCTCTATGGTAGTATATATTTATGCATGCCTAGAGATTGGGATCATAATAATCCCTCTATAGAGCAAATAATGGATTTTGTAACGAGAGAATTAGTGCACATCTGTTTCATTTCCTATTATGACTGTATCACAGAGTTGCTTGTAGTAACGGCTGATCGCGGCAGAATCTTGCTGGAAACACATGAGACAAGTAAAGTCACTGAAAAACAAATGCTTTCTATTTCCCTTAGCCGTGCTTTCTACACAAGCATCTTTTATGGCACCATTAGTTTGTGACTTAATCCTCAGTTCATTCGCCCACACGCTGCAATTTCTGAAGATTTTTTAACAAGTTCATAGCATTTGTGAAAACTAGTGAAAAATACGTGCCGAGCACATATGTTAGAATCGGAATTTACTTCAAAACCTTGTAATAAGATATTGCAGCAGAAAACGGATGCGATTTTTTGCGCTAACCGCTCTGACTATTATTACAACATGCAAAGTTATGAAAGA